AAGTTAATTTATGATTCCATTCAAAACATTACACTTTGACTATTTGTTTTTCATTTTTTTCTTTTAATATAATAACTTATATAGCCTATCATTAAAAAATAAATAAATTAAATTTGCTTTAACTCAACCTATTGATAATTTTCTCTTAAATTTTTTTCATTTCTGATTACATATTGATAGAACACATTCAATTCATTATTTCAACTGGAAACTCAAAAGATATTACAAGTTCAAAATATTATTACAACATCTAGACAAACACAATATTCCAAGATGCTTTTTCATCCCTAACCTTCTAAAAGAAAAGGCGATCACACAAAATCATGACATCTGTTAATGAAGATCAACCTGGATAGTTACTTGGGCTTTGTCCAGAGATCACGAAGTTTATGAAGACGAGGACTATAAGTCAGGCACCTCCAATTGTAGACAAGCATGAAAAACGAGATGTAGTAGACATAATGCGAGAGCTTTCCTTCAATAATTTGGTTGACGGATGGTGGAAGAATCCATTGAATATAAAGCAATGTTTGAGCAACGAAAAACACGATCCCCACCACTATAACGATGATCGCGAACACCCCATAATTGGATCCACCTAATGCTATGCTCACGGCAAAAAAGAATGACAAGCACATCATGTAAATAGACCCACCCACCATTAAGGATGAAAACCAAACTGCAAATGGTGCAAACTTGACATCATTCAAGTTTGTCCAAAGAAGGATTATAGCTGCCACCACAGAGGTATTTAAAGCCCACACATCAAGACATAAATAACCATCCAAAAGAGATGAACCAGTAGGACTGTCCAAGGCAGTGCTGTTATGGGAGGCAGTAGCAGTGCTGTTAAATTCTTGAAGATGCTCCCTCGAGTTATTTTTATCCCTTATTTGTGGCATCTGTATAGCACCCGCAAAGGTTACACCAGCAACAAGCACCGCTACAACAAGAAGATTCTGTATGCTGGTCTTTGTTTCCTGTTTCCTTGGCGGCTTGCCTTGAGTACTAGTGAAACGCTCATATAGGGATTTCCTAGGCCGGGCATGGAAGTATAAGATAGATAATGTTGTCATCTGCATAGCAAGGGGAAACAAACTTCATAATAATGAGTTTCTGGCACTTCCTCAATCGCATGCAAAAGCGTTGGCCTTGAAATCCTTTTTTTTTTTAAGAACAAGCACGATTCTGGAATGATTTCTGAATTTTGAAAATAATTGTATAGAATCTAAATTAATCGGCCTTCAAGTAGATGTTCAAAAGAATAGGGATGACTTGAAAAAATATAGGAAAGAAGATGTGTAAGTTACCGTTCCATAATAATCAAGCAGTTTGTAGTGCTTTGAATCAACTGCTTTGTCCTGTTAAAAAACATAATTTTAAGTTAATGAATAGAGCTACCACTTTTTTCTTTCTTTCCGTCTTTCCTTTTGTGCTATGGCTAGCCAACAACATAAGCCACTGAAACTGATGATCAGCCCATGATTGGAAAGTAGTTCTTTGAGCTTAGAAGAAAAAATTAACCCCAAGTGCAGTTTTAGGCTTACCAATTTTGTGTAGTCCACGTAAACTTGTACCTTTCGTTGAGAACCAGTCGAAGCGGTCGACTTTTCTGTTGTAGAATTCTTCTTTCCATCCTTCACATCTTCTGAATTAACTTCGATCTGAGGAATGAAGACAGAAATCATGAAGCAACGCAGAGCAGATAATTGTACAAATTACATGACATGAGCTCTTCTGACAAAGGATGATTGAGTATATCGAAGAACCACTCAACTCAAAAGCTTTAACAGCTAATTGAGGTTTAAGGATACGATTTTATATTATATCTTTAGTCCTGAATTTCAGTCAGCTTTTAAGAGTGTTGAGTTATATACTCTGTTTCCATTTTTTCATGACATCATCCCTTATTATGTAAAATATGATATCCTTTAGTGAAATGGAATCCTTGTCTACTTAAAATGTAAGAACATTCTTTTTCAACAGAACTGTCATACCTGTATCTGGTCCGCATGAATACTGTTCTTTGAATCCAACTGCTGTCGTTCCTTAGCAAGCTGGCAACAAAGAGGAAGCCCAGAAACCAAAATATTAAATAAATAATACTCTTAAAATATGTACTTTTGTAGCCTCGATAAATGATGATCAAATAGCATACCATTTCATCTGTTTTGTCATATTGGTCTGCAGCAATTTTAGATTGTTGTTTCGCAACATCATACGGTGTAAAATTTTCGTTGTTAACAATTGAATTTTCAACGCGTTTGTCACGCACAAGAACAAATGCAGCCATGGATTGACCATGTCGTGCTGCCAAATGCAAAGGTGTATTCCCATCCTCATCCATCTCATTTAGCAGTGGTTCTACGATCTTCTGATCGTTTTCGAGTATGTACCTTACCACATTGCCCTGTCCATTTTCAGCCGCTACATGAATAATATTCTGCCCCTTTTTATTGAGGAATTCTTTAGGATATGGGAAAATATCAAGAAATTCCTTTCCTAAATCAACAGATTCATTTTTGCATGCAACATGGATAGGATAGTTGCCTTCACTGTTTGTTTTATAAGCACCATAGAGAAAATTCTTTAATAGGAATCGAACTCCTTCCAGAAAACATATGGATGATGCATAATGCAGTGAATTTCTCAACTCTTCGTCAGTGAGACATAATAGCTCTGGCTTTGCTTTTGCAATTTTCCCCAATAGATCTGAAAATCAAAAGAAAATGTTTCAAATGAATATAAAGATGATAGCTTTGCAACAATTGTTTGTATGTAATTCATTTTCTAGTGAGTAGTGAAATTATGATCACCTCTGTTACGTTGCTTGATGGCAGCATGAACAGGGGACTTTCCTTTTGGTACGGCATCACCATCTTCACTTTTTATAGGGAACGAAACTTCCGTTTTCAAGAGATCATCAAGTATCTTTTTCTTATTGCCGTTCTCAACTGCCAGATATAAAGGAGACTTGCCATTATTGTTGTTGTAATAGGCCACTTCTGGATAGCTGGACACTAGGAGTTTGGCAACTTCTTTGTTATCGGTGATCACTGCATCATGCAAAGGAGTGTTTCCCTTTGTATTTTTCTTCCTCTGCATGTCAATGGAATCTGAAGTAACGTGAATATTACTTTCGTTTTATTTGCCTGGATACTTTGAGCACTCAAATACTTAACCCATTTCGTTCTGGAATCTTGGCTATGGTTAAAGCAGCATCTAGAAAAGGAAAAGGAAAAGGAAAAGAGGAAATATCTCCCCCAACTCATAAAAAGGAAAATTCTTAACTTGAATTTATAACTCATATACAGAGTGCAGGTGGGAGAATCCATTGTTTAATGAACGAGATACACGATGGCATGAGATTCTAGGTGAAACAAACATTCAATTCAAAAGGAAAATTCTTAACTTGAATTTATAACTCTTATACAGAGTGCAGTTGGGAGAATCCATGGTTTCATGAGCATGATACACGATGGCATGAGATTCTTCATCTTCTCGCGATGATTTAACTATTCAATTCAAAAGTTTCAAACTCTAACGTTAAGCTCGATTGGTTAGCGCTTGAAGCAAGCCGAAGTATCCCCCTGGACGCACCATTTTTATTTAAAAAAAAAACACATACAAGTTGTTTTTCCCCCTCAAAAAATAGGTTTTTATTATTTAGTATTTATTTGAAGGTAAATTTTTTTTGTTTTTTTATCGTATAAAAAAAAAACTTAACATAGTAAAGTTCATAATTTGAATTATGATTTAGTGGATTAACTAGCATGAACTTGACTTGATTTTTTACTTTTTTTTTTCTTTTGAACTTACATAGTCGATAAGATCATATTGGGGTAATTTTATAAAATTTAATTTAAAACTTGAGTTAAACAAAGTGTTGGGTTAAGTGTTTTTAAATTTTAATTATTGTATTAAATTTAATATTATGCTGAAAAATTCATAAAATCTAATTATTATTTTTTGTGTTTTAAAACATTTAGGTCCAATTCTCAATGAAAACACCAATAATAAACTAGTGATGAACTTTATATGGTAATATACATTACAAGTTGCTTGTTCTGAAGGGAAAAAGAAAAAGAAAGACAAAATCATTTTTATGTAAAATTTAAAATTTTGATTGATATGGTATTTGATCGTCTTCACCAATATAGGGAAGCTATTGCTAGTTTCTTTTGAAACATTGGTGTTATTAGTCTGGCCTAAATTCCTTTCTGTTCCGAAATATCCTAATGAACGAGAATCACACCTTTAAAATTTTAAGAAATTACCAACTAGTTCTATAAAATGTTTCTATTGACAAATTAATAAATTCGTAATTATTTCATCAATAAAGTTCAGTTAATTTTGTAATCTTTGAATATCCTTTTAAAAAAAAATATGAATTTATTATTAATTACCTTTCATTTACAAGATAAATTACAAAATTAAGCTTAATATCTTTAACGTTTTCCTTTTTTAACTCTTTCTATATACATTCCATCATTGTTAAAAAAATATCAAGAAGAAGAAAATTAATGCATAATTTTCACATCAAACTTCAACTATTTTTTCTACATTTTTGTTTTCTTTTAATATAATAATTTATATATCCTCTCATTAAAAATATTGCAAATGCTTTAATGGAGTCATTTTAAAATGCAAGTCAAAGAATGATGAACTATATATGCATGGTAGTATACAATACAAGTTGAAGAATCTAATTAAAAGAAAGTGATTTGGATCCATAGACTAGTCATACACTAAATCTCACTATTGATTCTGAATTCAATGATTTATATTAGTTTAGGAACAAAAAATAATTAAGATTTAAATTATTGTTATTTTTATCAAGCACTACATCATGTCCATTCCATTAGAATTCAATCATTTAAACTTAACGAATGAAATTAAAATACATGATATATAGAAGAAGAAAAAAGCATGCGATGGCTATCGGTTCAAGAATGCTTGACATTTTTCTCTTAAGATTTATTCATCTATGAGAGAACATATTGATAGAACACATTCAATTCATTATTTCAACCGGAAACTCTGAAGTTATTACAAGTTCAAATTATTATTTCAATAGCTAGGCACACAAAATATTCCAAGATATTTATTCATCCCAAAAATAACCTTTTAAAAGAGAGCAATCTCTCAGAATCCTGACTTCTCTTGATGAAGATCAACCTGGATAGTTACTATTTCTTTCTACGGAGATCAGGAAGTTTATCAGTCAGCCACCTCCAACTGTAGACAAGCACGAAAAACGAGATGTAGTAGACATAATGCGAGACCAATCCTTCAATAATTTGGTTGACGGTTGGTGGAAGAATCCATTGAATGTAAAGCAATGTTTGAGCAACGAAAAACGCTATCCCCACCACTATAATGATGATCGCGAACACCCCATAATTGGATCCACCTAATGCTATGCTCACGGCAAAAAAGAATGACAAGCACATCATGTAAATAGACCCACCCACCATTAAGGATGAAAACCAAACTGCAAATGGTGCAAACTTGACATCATTTAAGTTTGTCCAAAGAAGGATTATAGCTGCCACTACAGAGGTATTTAAAGCCCACACATCAAGACATAAATAACCATCCAAAAGAGATGAACCAGTAGGACTGTCCAAGGCAGTGCTGTTCCGGGAGGCAGTAGTAGTGCTGTTAAATTCATGAAGATGCTCACTAGAGCTAGTTTTATCCCTTAATTGTGGCATCTGTATAGCACCCGCGAAGGTTACACCAGCAACAAGCACCGCTACAACAAGAAGATTCTCTATCCTGCTCTTTGTTTCCTGTTTCCTTGGCGGCTTGCCTTGAGTACTAGTGAAACGCTCATATAGGGATTTCCTAGGCCGGGCATGGAAGTATAAGATAGATAATGTTGTCATCTGCATAGCAAGGGGAAACAAACTTCATAATAATGAGTTTCTGGCACTTCCTCAATCGCATGCAAAAGCGTTGGCCTTGAAATGCCCTTTTTTCTTTTCAGAACAAGCAAGATTCTGGATGATTTCAGAATTTTGAATATAATTGTATAGAATCTAAATTAATCGGCCTTGAACTAGATGTTTAAAAGATTAAGGATGGCAAGAAAAAAATAGGAAGGAAGAAAAGAAATAATACCGCTCCATAATAATCAAGCAGTTTGAAGTCCTTTCGTGGTGACTTTTTCGTGTCATGCTCCTTTGAATCAACTGCATTGTCCTGTAAAACAGAAACAATTTTATGTGAATGAATATAAGCCACTGAAACTGGTGATCAGAAAATTTTTGGAAAATAGTCCTTTGGGCGAAGAAAATTTCAACACATCTCTTATACCTGGTTCTTGTCCGCAGGGGCACTGTTCTTTGAATCAAACTGCTTTCGATCCTCAGCAAGCTGGCAACAAAGAGGAATCCCACATACCAAAATATTAAATCAATAATACTCCTAAAATATATGCTTTTGTAGCTCAATAAATGATGATCAAATAGCATACCATTTCATCTGTTTTTTCATATTGCTCTACAGCTATTTTGGATTGTTGTTCAGCAATATCATATGGTGTCAAATTTTCGTTGTTAACAATCGAACTATCAACGCGTTTGTCAAGCACAAGAACAAATGCAGCCACGGATTGACCATGATTTGTTGCCAAATGCAAAGGTGTATTTCCATCCTCATCCATCTCATTTAGCAGCGGTTCTACGAGCGTCTTCTCTTGTCTGAGTATGTACCTAACCACATTGCCCTTTCCATTTTCCGCCGCTACATGAAGAATGTTCTGCCCTTTTTTATTGAGGAATTCTTTTGGAAATGGGGTAATCTTCAGAAATTCCTTTACTACATCAACAGAGTCATTTTTGCATGCTAGATGGATAGGATAGTTGCCTTCATGGTTTCTTTTATAAGCACCATTGAGAAACTTTTGTAAAAGGAATTGAACGCCCTCCTGAAAACCTCTGGATGATGCATAATGCAGTGAATTTCCCAACTCTTTGTCAGTGAGACATAATAGCTCTGGCTTTGCTTTTTCAATTTTCTCCAATATATCTGAAAAACAAAAGAAATTGCTTCAAATGAATATGAAGATGATAGGTTTGCAACAACTGTCTGTATGTAAATCATTTTCTACTGAGTATAGACATTGTGATCACCTCTGTTACGTTGCTCGATGGCAGCATGAACTGGTGACTTTCCTTTTGGTAGGGCATCACCATCTTCACTTTCTGTAGGGAACGAAGCTTCCGTTTTCAAGAGATCATCAAGTATCTCTTTCTTATTTCCGTTCTCAACTGCCAGATATAAAGGAGACCTGCCATTCTTGTTGTTGTAATAGGCCACTTCTGGATCTCTGGACACTAGGAGTTTGGCAACTTCTTTGTTATCGGTGATCACTGCATCATGCAAAGGAGTGTTTCCCTTTGTATTTTTCTTCCTCATCAAGCTCGGATTCGATTCCGCAAGAGATTTAATTGTATGACTGGCCTTTCCTTCTCTGGCAGCAAGATGAAGGATTGTGTCCTTCTGGCTGTTTTGGATGGTGATTAGAGAAGGAAACGTTTCAGCCAGATAAGATGTAATATTGTCACTTCCATAGCTTACAGCTACATGAAGTAGTGAATTCCCAGCGGGAGTCTGTAGCTCCTTTGCTGAACGTTTTCGAACACAGCTCTTAAATGGAACAACACTGTCATGCTTCAAAAATTCATATAATGAAGGATCCATCATTTCATTTGGCTCATGAGGCTCATCGTCTATTTTTATGAGTACAGTACCCATAGCAGAAGAAAAATGATTATGTTAGCACTTGAATCAGTTATAAATCGGAGCTGAACATTTATTTGAATAGAACAGATTGCATTTCAATAGAATCTGAAGTGATATAGATGTTACTTTGATTTCACTTGCATGAATATACTTGGAGTACTGAAATCCTTCTCCAATTTGTTGTGCGCAGCCAGGACTCAGCAACAAGAACATGATTAAACAACATTAAAGAATAATATAAATAATATTTTAAATTTTTAAATTTTAATTTAAATTTTGAAATGATTCTTTGTTAAATTAGCATCCAAAACAATAAAAGAAAAGGATAAAAATGTTCCGAAGGTGACTGATTGTCCTTATTCTTTACTTGAGAATATAACTCACTGTGCGAACACTCAAAGATTAAAGGAACAGGATCCACAATGGCATCAGATTGTAACTTAGGTTTAGGTAAAAAGATCCAAAAATTTTAACTGTTTATCAGGAAGCCCAAGGGATGCTCTATGTTATTTTCTTTTAAACTTAAGACTTACATAAATTACTATGTTGCTCGAAAATACCTTAAATGGATTTTTTTAGTTAAGTTCTCAAATAAAAGAGTTTTGTCCCTAAAAAGGTTAAAGCACTGTTTCGGAAAGCTTGTTTCCAAAAAAAAATAATTTTTGATGAAAGTTAAATTTTTTTATATTGATTTGATGTATTGATATTAAAAATAATTTTTAAAAATAAAAAAATTATTTTAATATATTTTATTATTAAAAAATATTTTTACCAAACAGATACAATGTAAAATCATGACTTGTAGAATTGTGATCAAGTAGAATTTTTTTGTATTAAAGTATTTGCTTTTACACAGTACGAGTTTAATTGCCTTTGTATCACAGGTTGGGAACCTCATTCTTTCCAAAGTGAAGATGTAGATGGTTCTTTTTGCAATATCGCTGTCACTATTCTGGCCTGATACTTTCCATTTCTGTTTCAAATCGAAATCTATGATTTTAATGTTTTTTTTTCTTTTGATGATAATAGTCATTAATTTGATATTTTAATTTTTTAAAAAAAATTAGATTTTAATATTCTTTTTAATGTTTTAGAATATTAATAAACGTTAATCACAGGGAACACAGATTATAATAGTTTTTTAAAAAAAATTATTTATTATTTTTTTAATTTAGTTATTTAATGTTTATTTTTTTAGGAATTGAGTTTTGTAACTTATTTTAATTTATTTTTTTTTAAATTAATAGTGTCTCAAAAAAATTCTTCAACTTTAAGTTGGTGTTTTATTTTGCCAAAAAAAAATATAACTTTATTGTTCGCAATAGATAGACAATTAGGGGATCAAAATTGATGAACAAAAAAAATAAAAGCCCTTTTAAAAAAAACATTAGGGTCACAGCTTTTATAAGAGATTAATTTAACCTTAGGATTTTTCCTAATTTTTTTTATTGTTCCTTTTAAATTTTATTTTATTCACATTTTATTTATTGAATTTGAGAGTGAAAAGAGATGTTAAAAAATAATAAATGAGAAAAAAATAGTTAGACCTTAGGATTTTTCCTAATTGTTTTTATTGTTCCTTTTAAATTTTAATTTATTCACATTTTATTTATTGAGTTTGAGAGTGAAAAGAGATGTTAAAAAAATAATAAATGAGAAAAAAATAGTTATTTAATTTGATTTTAGTAATAAAAATAATCAAATGGAGGAAAAAAGTGTCATTAAGATTTGTTTTGGATTTTCATGTTATCAGGAAAAGTAGTTCGAAGTTGGGAGAGTTTTTTCTTTAATTTAATTTTGTTTTTTATTTTTTTTTGGATTTTTTTATTAATAAATTGATTAGATACAATAATTTTAAATATTTTAGAATAAAAATAGATTGAAAAATAATTTTTTGGGTCAAAAAAACATTTCTCCTAGTTTTTTGACAACCTATATAATGGTAGGATTATGTTAAAAGCAACGACATGCTATTGGCCTTTTTGTTTTGAAGTAATTAGGTATACTTTCTTAAAAATTAATTAAGTTAATGTATATTAGATATATTATTTTATTAAATTCTTAAATTGATTAAGAATATATTTATATATTATTTTATTTAATGTCATTCAATTTTTTCTTTGTTAAGATTATAAAATTCTTTTTTCAATATTAGCAATCGGTTTTTTTATGCCATCTATTAAAAAACATTTATTTTTTTATTTTTTTGAGTTATTTCATTGTGAACATTTATATTTTTTATTATATAATTAAATAAATAATAATAATTTTAAAAAATATATTTATTAAACACAATAAGGTTCATAATTTGAATTATAAATTTATCAAATTATTTTAAATTCATATTATTATTTTTTAGTTAGACCACTTTTTATCCGTTGTTAGGTTTTTTGGAACGTGTTAAAATTATAAAGTCATATTAAATTGATGCTTACATTATTTGTTTTTAAATATAAATTAAGTTGAAAAATTAAGTTAAAAAATTTCAATATTTACTTGCTAAGACACATGATATGATTTTGGTTAAATGATTAGAAGATTTTTAGTTACTAAAAAAATACATTATTAATTCCTTTACTATTTTTTAAGCATTCAAAAAAAAAATCCATGCCCAATTATCTAATATATTGGAAATGCCCATCCAATTTTTAGCTACACAAGTATTGAGAGGTAGAATGACATGGGAAACAATAGAATGTGTGAAATTCTTCTTACATAATCATCAAAATCCATAGGTTATAAATCTATCCATACGGACTACATCTGTATCCAATAAACTGCAATTAATCATTAGGGACTCAACTTCAAATCTGATTCAACTCTTAGGGACCCAATTAAAATCTGGTTACCAAAATTAAGGACCAAATCATAACAATTCAAACTCTAAGGACCAAGCAATGATGATTATAAATTCCCATAGATTATATTGTATCTTTACCTTCTCCTTCTCGAGACTTCTGCCGATTCTCCTTAACCGACAGTGGCTTAATCCTTTCTTCATCTTCTTATTTCTTTGGGACATAATAATCTTGTGTGGTAAACGTAAAATGAACATGCAATTATTTAACCATAACAATCTTCTTCTTTTTTATCTTAAAGGTTAATTTTAGTTGTTAAGAAATGATTATTAATCTACAAACATATCATATAAATTCAATTTATTTATATAAATTATAATTTTTTTAAAAAAATTACCATAATCTCTTTAAAGCATTATAAAATAAATAAAAAAACTTAATTATTTTTTAGAAAAATGAACTAAACAATTAAAAACACAAGAGAAAATATTAATAAAAATTTAAATAAAAATTAAAAAAATATTTAAAAAAAAAATTAAACTACTGTGTGCCAAACCCGCGCCCTTGGCCGAGGATAAAAAACAGGATACAAGTTGTTTTGAAGTTTTTTCTTGAAATAGACAAGTGGTTTATTATGAAAAAAAATTGTTGTACTCTGCATCATTTTCCTGATGCCTCCTGTATTTGAAAAACTAAAATACAAGTTTTGAAATTTATTGAGGATATATTTATTTTTAAAAAAAATTTGTATTTGTTTGTTATTAGAAAAGATGGTCAACGAAAAATATTTTTTAATTAAAATTTAATTAAAAAAATTGACGTAGTTTTTAGAAAAGTATTTTCCTGAAAAATTTAGAGGGAAAATATTTTCCAGAAAATTGTAAAAACTTTAGAAATATTATATTATTTGCTGATTATATTAAATTTAGTCTTCAAACTTTTGATTGATATATATATTTTCACGATGTCTTCCTGTGGATAATCATGTCTCACTTGATTATATTTTGAAAGCTTTTCAATGGAAAGATGATGAGGTTTTTTTTTTAATTTTTTGTGGAAGGTCCATCTAATTTTTTAATAGAATGGAAAGATGATGAGGTTTTTTTAAAAAAAATTTGTGGAAGGTCCATCTAATTTTTTAATATAAAAAATCTTATTTCTTATCTTTACGTTCATCGTAAAGTATATTAATAAAACGATAAATCTTAATTTTGTTTTTTATATTCTTAAATATAATAATGTTCATTGTATTATTTGAACCTTTTAATTAGAGCGGAAGTTTAATTACATCACTTTTTTAAGAGGTTTTTTTTTTCAGTGAATAGTCTAAAAAAATCTAAGTAAGAGAAACTAGATTTGTTTCAGAGGGTAAATCTATGCATGGATACACAAAGGAGACCATCTTCCTCAATGCATAAGAAATAAAGGTATTGAAAAGGTGAAGTGAGGCTCGCTTTCCTTCACCAGCATCTACCATGAGTTTAC